TATAGTTGCACATGAAACAGGAAAAATCACGCAAAAAGTCAACAACCGGAAAACCAACGCGACAAATTTCTCTCAAAGGCACATACGACCCCCCTCTCTCCCAACGACCAAATACGACCCCCTCCTCAGAGAAAAAGTACGACCCCCTCCCCTATACGTTTCACACAGCGATGCTGTACCCTGAAGGCCCTGCCCTACTCGTGCCAAGCGAGAGAGAAAGAATGTGGTTATTGGGCTACAGGCCAGAGAAAGCAGCTATAGAGCATGCAAGTGAGCAAGACAACAGGCAATACATCTATCAAGCGGTGCGGAGCCACTCCAGCAACAATATGCTTTCTTAATCTTATGCAGGACTGTTCAATGCAGTCCAAACTATATCCCTTGTGCAGAGCTCAGATAATTATAAGTAATCGTGGGCTCAGCCCTTGACTCTGCCGAGGAATAGGACTTAAATCTACCTCTAATTACTCTGTTTTCTCGAAAATAATGATATCATCTGTTGGCTAGCAGAGCTGACATCATAAAGTGGGTGGGTTTCCTTTGCCCCCGAGACTCCATATGGGCAGCTACCGGCATAAATCAGATAGAACAACTCAGAAGGTCAAACAATAAAACGTACCCTAGACCGATCTGACGTTTAATCTCGTATTTCTGAAGAGGATCTCCTTGATTGACAATTTGTCGAAGTTCTTCTAACACCTAAATCATGGCTTTTATTACAGAAAATACATATATCCCGCTCACAAAACTACACTTACGAAAAAAACCTGGAACAGTTAAAAAACCGCACTTCCAGAAATTTAATGGACCTTGTTAGATTTAAGAAGAAAAACTGCATTTTTAAAGTCAAGGCTTGCAAGAAAGTGCCTGCGGGATTTGAGTGTTCATTGAAGAGCAACAAATAAATTGGAGCCATTTAAAAAAAGGCAATTTTCCGTGTATGTTTCAGGTTTTCTTTATATCCAAGACAGTACTACTTAAAAAGCAAATTGAACCAAAGAGGCGAGAGCGATTGACAAAAGGACAGGAATACCTGGGCATCCGTCATTTTTTCTTTCGGTTGTGACCGAACTCGAACAGGTTCCTGCTCAGTGATAGCTTTAGGTTTATCCGCTTGAATGATCGTGGCAGCAGCAGCGGCATTTTCCTTCTGAAAAACTATTTCGCTGGAATTTGATAGAAAATGACAAGCACTATAGAATAATAGCTGAAAAATAATAAGAACACTATTAGCTGCCGGACCAAAACTACTATCAAGGGGTTTTCAGTTACACGGAAAGAAACGTTAGCCGCCTTACTACCGGGCGGTCATCTTCTATCACAAAAACGCCTTAAATGAAGAAATGAAGATTTTCTCACATCAGAGTATGACCGGTTTTCTACTTCTGATGAAACGTTGCTCGCCACGCTACCATTGGACAAGGAATGTCCGATCGAATTCGTGTCCGAAGACGTTACGGAGACAAATGGAGGCGGGGAAACGCATGTCGACGACGCTTTTAGATGCTAAAACTGCAATAATATGAGGGAAGTCCAGTATCTGATTCCGGCGCTATTTACTCTTTACTGCTTCAATCATCCGGAATCAGTTTTTGAGCGACTTTTTTCTCCGTGGATATATTTGGCTCAAATATTGTCTCCTGGGGTAGTTTGACCTCCTGAATACGAATATCACATTCGCTCAGCCCGAAACTTCCTGGCGCCCGCGCCACAGGCGCCGGTGATTTGGGGTATTTTGGCGCCGGCGCCTGTGGCGCGGGCGCTAGGAGGTTCCGTGCCGAGTGTGATATTTATGTTCAAGAAGTCCCAAACTACCCCAAACAAAAACTGGCCAGATTTCGGATGATTGGGGTAGTAAAGGGTGAACAGTGCCCCAATTCCTATCCTAAAAGTAAAGATGGAGAGAAAGTTTTAGACCTATATCCTTTCAAAAATACATCATGTCTACATTTTTTCATGACACTTTCATCTATGAAATGAATGAAACAAGCAGACTATGGCGACAAGTTCCCACCCCAAGCATAGAAGCAGAAGCAATAAATTCGAAAAACCAGTAACTGATCCTACCAAAAGCTCGTTGCCAATGTGGCTGATGTAAGCGCCCCACGGCGATAGAACACTAAATCGTTTCGGCTGCCAATCCCAGTCGTACATGAATAGTAGTAGGTTCGCTGCTAATAGAATTTAAATCCGTCAGCAAGCAGCTGCACAATAAGGCAGGTGGGGGCCAAATGCCAAATGATGGTCTGATCACTTCGACCAATTATCTGACAACAATCACTGTAAGACCTTCAAACAAATGAACAGGTCGCGAACATTTTCAGAACAAGCAAGCGATTGAGGTAACGAAGACACTTCTCTAGAACCAGCACATCGGAAAGGAACCATGCAAAAATCCGAACGGAAGGTAACCCTTCAATGAGAACTCGGCTCGGTACAGGAAACGAAGAGTTGTCTCGTATTATCGCGTTGGAATAATAGAGGTGTGAACGGAGAAGGACACGACCAGAGAAGAAAACCTCCACTACGACAAGAAGGGCGGAGCTTTGCGTCGCTCATGACCGGTCTAGCTACGACGACCCTATTTGGCGCGATATCTGCCAGAAAATAGCTTGTGCAAAGGACTACAGCATAGGTGAAACGCCGTGTAAAGAACAAGCCGCAGACCAGCCGTCGACAGGTTGTTTATTTCGCTATGCGGTCTATTACATCTCATAAAAATGAATCCGTCTTGATTCATTGATCATTCCCCGAAATTTATGATATCAAAAGAGCATTCTAAACGTTTACGATCAAAGGATGGCGATTCAAAGCACGTCGGTGAAACCTTTCTCCAGAAAAAGCAGATTACGGAACCCATTCTTTAGAAAGAGCTTATACGACCTAAGCTGTTCTTGTAAAATTAAGCACTGGAAATCCGAAAAGGAACGTACCGCAGGCTTCGGAGGAACCTTTGGTGGAACTTTGTGGAGAGTGTTTGTAGCTTGAGAAATCTCTGCAGCAAGAGCCTGAAACAGAACATTCATAGATGCGCTGGTGATTAAAGTTGATTTACTCTCACAGCAGTAGACAGCATTTTACAATTTACATAAAATTTTTCTCATTATTCCTAAGTTCTGAAACGGGTAAACTCTCACGAACACACAACAGGTCCTTTGAGTCCACTCGTTCGAGGGCCACTCAAACCTAAAGTGTTTGCCAACTAGGTGTGGTATTCAACCGCTGAAAAGGCAAACGTTCTCAATGCACTCGCAAATCGCGGCCAAAAAAATAGGTGTGGTAGTAACAGTCACTAGGTCACCTACAAAAGACCAAGACATCAGTCAGAAATTGATTTTCACCATTAATCCAGCCCTCGATTCCTCAAATGTTGTTGGTAAAAGCACAGGGAAAGGACATACACTAAATTTGTCAATATTTTGACCACTGCCACAACGTGGTTTTCGTACAATAGAACATTCCAGGAAATTACATAGAAGAACTTTTCATAAAGCTCGCATAACGATGAGTTGCACTATGAGAATTGAAAATTCCGACTCAGTTCGACGACGACGGGGCATTTTGCAGTTTCGCTGCTCCACTAGTTCCGGTTTATACAAGTTTCACTCTGGTGAAATCTGTGAACTGCGAAGCTGGAGCAAGCTCGTTGAGCCGTCATGAACTTGTCAACTGTTGGCTCATAAAATAGCTCTCCAGATGGCTTGACACGCCAATGTTAAGTAACAAAAGTGCAGCTCCCCTCATTGCCAAACTGCGTCAAAAGTCTTTTTAGTTCATGAAAAAAATCGCGAGGAGCCACCACGAAAAAAAAAATAAACAAAAGAGGGACGTCCTCACTCGCCTACGATTTAGTGGTGAGCATCCCATGCCAGAGCTCACCAAAATTTGCCTTTACATAATAGGCGGAACGAGGTCACATTTTGAAGAATCTCAACATTTCATTGATTTCTTTTTTGTTCGTTTCCATTTTCGTCGCTTTGAGCCCTTTCGAAACAAGGTCATTAGTCATATTTGAAAACCCAATGGGGCAGAGAAGGAATACGAGCGAGTGGTGACAGCTGGGTTTGGCGGAGGATGGACAAATGCGATTTGTACGAAGTAACAGCTGGAGAGCTGATAAAAAACTGCCGTTCACAGAACAGATGAGAGAGTACAGGGCACATTCTCACTCAATGTGACACCGAAGTCAAAACATTCTGTGCGATGACCTTCAAATGCATTAGCGCTCTGATGCTCTGCAAAATATACTGGGTGTCAACATTTTCCGTCGTAAATCTCCGTGAAGATGGCCCAAATGGGTTACAAAGCATATTAGTTGATAGCCCAGAACTCTTTAGGTTCGCCAGAGTTTAACTCCAGCGATCAAGAAAATTCCACTGTTCTTGAACAGGTTTCAGGTCCATTCTTGGTTTGAGTCATCAGTACAAAAGTTGCCTTAAGCAAAAAACCAACATCAAATTTCCACTTCACTCCACTTCAAGTGAAGGAATCAGACTCGAAATCTTTACATATTGAATGCCAAGTCCATCGGATTCAAGGCACGTTCCCCAACTTACATTTCGCGTTTTTTTTTCCGAAAAGCTGTTTGATGCATATTTCTTAGAGTAATCCTGATTATCACGCCTACGGATACCGTTCCCGTCAAAAATGTGCATCACGTCGTTTATTGATATTACATCTTTTTAAGCTTGAGGTAAGTTTGGCTGCGGTTCCCTCCGCTTTGGGCCATTGTTTGAGTAATACAAGAATATTTGAGGAGCGTGAGGGCGCGATCTTTTTTATAGCCCTCTTTGTAGAAAGAAAGATTGCGAGAAAAGAAAATCTGTTTGGTGTCCTCATTGCTATTTTTGTAATATTGAGTCAGCTTTGTCAAAATCATCGACCACATGCCAAAATATCTCTGAATGAACAAAAGTGCCTCCTTGGGTCATCCAGAAATAGGGATTGATGGTTCGTGTTTCCAAACCGTACATCAAAACTAGTATATTCAAGACAGAGTCCGAATTCATTTGACTTCCCGACGTATACGGTAGCCTTCCCTAGAAGGATGGGGGATTAACTAATTCCACAGCTCGAAAAATGCGAGCTTCGCTTGTGAAGGGACTGCCCACCGGGCTGCCACAACGCCCACCTTTCATTTCTGAAGGCTGTCTGAAAGTGTTGTCATTCCGCTACTAATTCCCTCCACATCGCAGCGTAAGGC